AGTACCTCTGGTAGTAATTCGGGCCAGAGCCCTTTGGCTTATTCGAGTTTCTTCTTCAGTATGTTCAATATTGTTTTGTTGGAGGATTCTGCTTGGCCGTTGGCGGCGGGGTGATATGGCGTGGAGAGTATCCGTTTGATGTGCCATTTGTCAAAGAACTCCGTTATCTTTTTGCCGATGAATTGGGGGCCGTTATCGCAGTTGATTTCTTTGGGGATGCCGAAGCGGCATATGATGTTTTTCCATATGAAGGCGATGACTTCTTGTTCGCGTATTTGGGCGTATGCACCTGCTTCTACCCACTTGGAGAAATAGTCAGTCAAAACTAACAGAAATCGTACCTTTCCTCGTCCTGCTGGTAGGGGACCGATTATGTCCATCCCCCATTTGATGAAGGGCCAAGGTTATGTTACTGAGTGTAGGGGCTCTCCCGGTTGATGTATCATGGGGGCGTACTTTTGGCACTGCTCGCACCTACGAACGTACTCCGCTGCCTCCTTTTTCATTGTGGGCCAGTAGTACCCGGCTCGGATGATGCAACGGACAAGAACACGATTGCCGGTATGTGCACCACAGTGGCCCTCGTGTACCTCTTCGAGTACTTGCCTTGTTTGGTGTGGCGCCAAGCACTTAGCGAGGGGTCCGCCAAACGTTCCTTTGTACAAATCGTGACTTATTAGGCAGTATCGGGCAGCTTGTACGCAGAGCTTTTTGGCTGCTTTCTTGTCGAGCGGGAGTGTCCCGTCCTGCAGATAGGAGATAAACTGGTTGCGCCAGTCCCAAGTTAGATTTAAAGAGAGTACCTCAGTGTGATCTATGGCTGAATGGAGGAGGGTGACTATGTTTCCCTTGTTGATGTTTTTGGTGGCTGCAGCCAATTTGGCTAGGCCGTCTGCTTCAATGTTCTGCGCCCTCGGGATTTGTTCCAGGCGGCATTCGTCGAATTCGGGCATCAACTTGTGAATTTCTGATTGATATTTCTGCAGTCTCTGTTCCTTGATCTGGTAAGTCCCGGTGACCTGGTTTACCACGAGTTGAGAATCGCAATGGAGGACGAGTCGTCGGGCTCCGTACTTGATGGCCAACTTCATACCTGCAATCACAGCCTCGTACTCGGCCTCGTTGTTACTCATCTTGGGGCATCGTATGGACTGGCGAATTATTTCGCCCGTGGGGACCTCGAGTACGAGTCCCAGTCCCGATCCCGAGGCGTTGGAACCGCCGTCAGTGTAGAGGGTCCAGAGGTCGGTACTAGGAGTGGCACGAATGGCCTCTAGTTCCGCTTCCGGGAGAATCTCTGTACTGAAATCGGCGACAAAATGTGCAAGTACCTGCGACTTGATGGCGTTTCTCGGGTGATAGGATATGTCGTGCTCGCTGAGCTCTATGGCCCATCTGGCGAGCCTTCCTGATAGCTCGGGCTTGTGTAGGATGCTTCTGAGGGGGAAGGTCGTTATAACTTTTATAGGATGACACTGAAAGTAGGGTCTAAGCTTTCGTGAAGCTACGACCAGTGCCAGAGCCAGCTTCTCGAGGTGTGGATACCGTATTTCGGCGTCCATTAGGGTTTTGCTGATATAGTAAATAGGAGACTGCGTACCTTTGTTTTCACGGGCCAGGACTGCGCCGACGGCCACTTCGGACACTGCCAGGTATACTAGCAAGGGTTTGCTTTAACTAGCAATGGTGGCGAAGACAGGTATTCTCTCAATTTTTTTAAAGCCTCGGCGCATTCCTCGTTCCATTGTAGTTCGTGATCTTTTCTCAATACGTTAAAAAATTTATGGCACCTGTCGGAGGATCGCGAAATGAACCTGGATAGGGCGGCTATTCGCCCTGTCAGCTTTTGTACCAGTTTTTTACTGTGCAAGGTCTCGGGTATTGCGTCTATCGCCTTGATCTGGTCAGGATTGACTTCGATACCTCGTTGTGATACGAGGAAACCCAAGAACTTTCCTGATGCTACGCCGAAAGCGCATTTTTTTGGGTTTAATTTCATCCCGTACTGTCGTAGTATCTTAAAGGCTTCTTTCAGATGGTCGAGGTGGTCTTCTTTGTTTGCCGACTTTACCAGCATATCGTCGATGTAGTCC